ACTGGTGGCTTCAAGTTTCTTCATCACACTGTACAAGCTGAATACTACACCAGGACTGACTTCCAAACTATGTGATGTCACAAATCATGCTGGTAGGCCCCTCCCGTTAAAATCGGATTTTCAATGAGCACAGAGAAACTTTCCACTTTCATCTGAATGTGATAACATCCTTCTAGTGTCAAACTCTGCACAGACATTATCCTGCACAGTGAAAATCAAACATCCCACTGTAGCAACAAGAAGGAGAAATGATTTTTGAGTGGAGGGGGACTTAAACTGAGGAGCAAATAGAGGTAAAAGAATGCAAATATAACATCTACTGTTTTCACATTTGCTTTTTTGAGTGTGCAGCCTTTGACAGCTTTTTAGGGCTAATTTCGAAAAGCAATCCAAAGCACACAGGAAAGAGAGATGCTGCAGCATTTAGCCGAGGCTTGAAGGTTCAACAGGAGGGAGCCTGGAAGAAGAGGTCTTGATGAAAGAGAATGATGAGCTAGCACGTCAGCCTGGTTAAGGATGAGAGGATTTACTCTGCACACAGTGGGACATCAGCCACTGACAGACACACACACAATGAGACACATACACACCCGAGGCCCTGCCAAGCCATTCAGCAATCAGCTCTCCCAGAGTGCCCTGATACAGCTGGAGAAAATGGAGTGGCATAGCAGGGGTGAGCTATTTTTCCGCGGTGAGCTGGCAAGTGTTTTCATCTTCCTCGCTGGCCTGTGTGCGGTGTTTAACCCAGGATCACTTGGAGGACATGGACAGATCTAGTGCTGATGGCTGTGTTAGCAGCCAGAGCTCAGTGCTTATCTCAAAAACCCACTTGTGGATGGAGTGCAGGACTGCTAGGTGTAGAGGTCCACTGAGAGGCCGGATCATCATGGTGTGATGTAAGTGCGAAAACCACACTGAGCAGTTAGATTCAGTCCTAATGAGTTAGGATGATGATAAACATTTTGTATTTTTGAGTGTGAAAATATATATCTCACATTATCTTTATCAAAAACATATTTTAAGGACCATAACCATAATTCAGCTTTACATTATTGACCATTTTCAAAGCATAACATACATTTTTAGACTGATTTCCTAGCTTCCAGGCAGCAATTGGTTTCATTTCATGCCAGCAAATATATGAAAATCAGAGCCTTGGAGCTGCTTGTGGGGAACCTCAAACATCTGAAACATGAGAACTGGTTGCAAATAGCAACATTTTTAACACAAAAAAAACTACGAAAATATGATTTTAATGATCCATGTTTGCTTTCTTTTGTTTGTCCTCTGGATTTAAGTGTGAGACTTTAATGCAAATGTTTCATTTTGATAGTCGAGTCTATAAAGGACCAGTGTGTAGTATTGATAAATGTGTATAATTACACATTGACCATTTAATTGGATTCATATTTCTGGCTCCACTTTTAAGTCCAACAGCCATTCTTGTTTTAACTTTGTTTAAGTCTCTAACAACTTTTAAAACAGAAAAATTTGGCTCTTTAGCTGTTAAATGCTCTCCTATGTTCAACAAATAGTCTGTCTGCCATTGTCTGCTGGGCAGCGTACAGTGGGTTTATTTACAACAACTGCTGCTGGAAACAAGTCTGATGAGAGCAAAATGTATATGCCATAAAATCAAATCAACAAGCTAAAACAGACTAAAATACTCAGTAGAGCTGATGAGAACTGCAGTTACTTACACTTGTCTGTGGTTTGTCACTACGTGTGACACCTTTCACATTACATATAAACATTTGATCTACTGGTATTAAAATTGCAATCAATTACTGCAGCTTTAACTGTATCTGAAGTGAAACCAGTGGCTGTCTGCTTTGAAGGTAGCAAATTAATCAGAAATGTTTGCCTTGGAAAACGGTGAGCACCAATATAAATTGCTGTGTGTGCAATTGGCAATTAATGAGATAAAACATAAACCGTGACTTGGCCCTTTAAGGCAGGATTTAGCTATGAATAATGTAGTATAAAAGTATGCTTATTTTATAACACAATGACTGGCAAATATTGTAAAGGACTAGTAAAGTTATAATACTAGATTGTACCTATACAGTAAGAAATAGTAAAGAGTACAAATTAATGAATAATGTAAAGTAATCAAATTATTTCAGCATGCAGTGACCATTGCACAATGCAGTCTGCATATGTACATCCACTATATTACTGTACATGAAGCAGTGATGATCTCTTAAACACAAATGTCTTCTCCCATTACATATTCATAGTACTTCATTAGTAGGAGTGTAATGAGTGGCCAGAGTTGGGGTGGGCCTTATGCCCAGAAACATATCTTAACATCTGGAGGCTTCACACTTCATGCCCTATGTTTCTGTCCTCATTACCCCTCACTACCAAGAGTCTGTTACCTCAGAGGATGCTTCTTTACGTCCATCTGGTATTAAAGACCAAAGGTATGGCACCATTTTAGTCACATGGATGGAAATTGCTATTCCTTCAAATGAATGAATGTATGACACCTCTCAAGAAAACATAATGTACAGACTATACTAAATGATAAGAGTGTCGCTCTTACCACGCTCTTTGGCATTTTTATGAGCTTCTTGCGAGGGCCCTTCTAAGGTAAGCGCGCCGAAAAGCAGCAGTCACCTGCGGCTGTACACTTGCCTCATGTGTTATTTTTTAGTTGTTTCTCCATGTGACTGAAATTCAAAACTGTAATTATGGTTGGTGTATTTTTCAAAAACCTTGCCAAGCAATTTTATTTATTTATTTTTTCATATCATGCTCACAAGAAACCAAAAATACAGTTCCAGTGGTAAAATATTTCATTTAAAAAATATTATGCCTTTTTTCCTATTCTTGGCAAATAATACACTACAACCTTCCTGAAGCACAATTCAGGTTTTTCATAATCATCCAGCCAAAAGAAATCATCATAAATTTTTCATTTTTCTATCCCTTATATCCTCATAGACAGGACAGCAGAACAAAAAATTAACCTCATTCTCAGTTTCACTGAGATCACACAACTCCTCTGAAGTGGCATTAAACCTCTAGGGCTGATTGTAATGTTCCTGAATGCAATTGTGCACATTGGGATCTTTGTCTTACTTCACATAAGGTTCTACACTGTAGTAATTCTTTATGAGGCAATACGTTTTGTAATTTTGCTTTATACCATATATCAAGAGACCATTTTTCTCTACACATGAAAAGTGTTTTACTCCTAATCTCCTGAATATCACAAAGTAACCTGTCCTGGGAAGTGAAAGACAAATCGTTCAAATAAAATAAGGATTTAACTCATTAGCCCAGGGACGATGTGAAATGTCCCAGTTAAATATCTTTTTAGTGAGTCTCTGATCAGACATCTTTACAAGTCTATTCCAAAGCCAAAGCATTTGGCATTTATGTTTGATGTTTGGAGGTTCTCCACTAATGGCCCAAACTGAAGTAAATTTATGGAAAGCGCAGTGTTACAACTTGTATGTTCACAGAAACCTGAAACATCAGAAGATTCATGTGACACACACATGAATTATAGATTTCTGTTTAAGTATGGAATCCTAGATTACCACATTGTTTAACTTTGTTCATGACAGATCTCAGTGCTCTACCCGCTGACTGAGCTACAACACTCAAAGCTTCTTTAAATGTCATGTGCTCGTCGGGCGTCAAGGCACGATATTAATACTGATCAGTATATGACAGCCCTATTGGACCAGAATTAAAAACAACTGAACTTCTCTCCCGTGATTTTGTCTCAATTAACTTTATCTTATCATTTCCAGCAACATTCCATAACAATGCTCAGCATAGCCTGCAGACATTTTTCACATTCAGTGAGTAAAACTATGTTATTCGTATATAATAATATGCCCACAATCTGGTCATCAACTTTTACTCCCAAGTTAGAAGCTTAGGTTTGCTGCTTAGTAGCATCATCTGTTAGACAAAGGATTTTATGGTCAATTGTGTGAAAAACATTAAAAAGG